AGCAAGATAAGCATTCCTGAATGTGGGTTCAATGTTAGGTCCTGCAGCAGACTGGATTCTTGCTGAAGGCAAAACAGCAATCAGATGTCATCTAGAGGTTGGAGGAGGGTGAGAAATTTGATAAGATATCATGTGTATTTAAATATGGAGGGTGGAAGTTTGGTCAACTGAATTAGGAAGATTCTTGCTAAAACTGGGGAAAGGTTGGTGCCTCTCCAAAAAGGTAGATCAGACAGCCTCACTAAAATTTGGTTAAGGAAGGAGACTTTGCCAATACAATCCAGATACAATGTACTAAAATAGTTGTGGTAAGAAGAAGAAGAAAAAAAAGGATCTGCCTTCAAGGATCTTAGTCAAATATAAACTTAGCCAAATATAAACATTAGTTCCTAGTCAAGACTAAGACAACTATTAAATCATAGCACCATTATTTGTTCCAAATAACAAAGGCCCTAAAGTTTATCAGAAGTATGATGGACTTCAGACTGACCTTTCAAGGATTCCTCCCCAGACAGTCGAGGGAGTCTCTAATGAAAACGGTCCCTTTCCTGGTTGTATATATTCATACAACCACAGGTCTCCAGCATCAAGGCTTTAACTGATGGCTTCCAGCTGTTTGAGGGCACAAGATCTGCCTCTAGCCACTCTTATTGTCACCACCCACTTGGAAGGGACACTGAATGTCGCTGTACTCCAAGCATGAAAGAGTCTATTTTTATGACCTCACAGCAGAGCTCAGGCTAATATTTTGTGACATTTTAAGAAAGGTTTAATACTAGATGTAAATAATCGCAAGCCCCAACATTCAGTAGTCTGAAGTCTTGGCCCAAAGGCTAACTGCATGCAATAGGAACCAGTGTAATCCCAACCCAGGCACACTCACAGATACTAGCATCTTTTGTGAATGTACAAGAGATGAGAATTTGGAAAGTGGACTTTCCTATGGGAAGGATGAATATGGGAGGATACCCCTGACAGGTTGTGCCAACTGTGCCAGTTTTCATGCTTAGTGGCAAAGAGAGAAAATATAGCACAGTTCTTAAATGTATGAACTCTAGAGTCACATTTGTATAATGGTATGATTGATCATTGTCACCAAGACTTGGGAGAACTGATGGTCACAATACAATACAATGGAATGGAGTGCTACATGACGCATCTGTCCCTAAGTTTCTCTTCAGTGACAACACTTTGCAGTTTGAAATCAACCACGGCAGTTATATTAACCTCACAGAAATATTCAAATGCTACAGATCAGAGGTCTTAGTCCGTTCAGGATGCTGTAATAAAGCACCATAGAATGGGTGGCTTATAAACAACAGGAAGTCATTTCTCACAGTTCTGAAGGCTGGGAAGACCAAAATCAAGGGCCCAGCAGATTTGTGTCCTGTGAGAGCCTCCTTCTGTATCAATAGATGGGGCAAGGGAGCTCTCTATTTTCTTTTATAAGGCACTATTCCCATTAATGGAGACTCTGCCCTCGTTACCTAATCATTTTCCAAGGGTTCATGTCCTAATGCCACCATACTAAGGGCTAGAACTCCAGTGTATGAATTTTGATGTGACACAATATTCAGTATATATTATCAGAGCTCCCTTCTGCTTTTACAGGTTGTTAAACATTTACCAGCAAACAACTTCATTTTTTTTTAAGCTGGGCAAACTTGGGCAAATTATCTACATATTCCTTTAATTTCTTCATCTATTGATAATAAAAACATTCACCTCATAAGTGAAATATTTTATGAAACATTTAGCCACCTATTGGACATAAATTCTCAATAAATACACATTTTTATTATCATTACTACAATTATGAAAGTGAAAACTATTGAAGGTTACAGTGCAATGTGAAACACATAATATATATCTGATCAGGACCTGCAGAACTTGAATTTTAAACAGTGCTTGGTCAGTACTTCTAAGAATACAACAGCAAGTACAATGAACAAGAGAAATGACAGTTAATGCTGGTAGCTTGCAGTTTGTGTTTTCCTTAGAATTATTCAGACACTGTGAAGCCATTGTCGGTACCATAGCCCAATTTTGAGACTAGAATTTGGGGTTTAATGAGGTTGTTTTAAGGCATTTGTAAGGGATAAGGGAGACCTGGGTTCTTTTTAAAATTTTTTTAAGTTTTTATTTGCTCTAATTAGTTATACATGAATGCATTTTGGATCATTGTACACAAATGAACACAGCTTTTAATTTCTCTGGTAGTATATGACGTAGAGCTGCGATATACGTGCAGTCATACATGTACCTGGGGTAGAGACCTGTGTTCTTAAATGTGCCTGACATCAGCTAGGGTGAGGTTTGCCTATTAATCTCCAATACTATCCTTGCATCTCTGTGTTTTTGACATCTGTAACATGCAAAGGTTGAACTTTGTGGTTACTAGAGCCTCAGATGTGGTTAGCATTAGAACATTGGATTCTTCTCCTTATCTCAATCACATCATATACCTAACAGCTTGAATTCAGATCCATCAGAACCAGTTGTCCAAGCACACCAAGCTCTTGTCAGCCTCTGGGACTTTCTGTGTGTTGTTCCCTCTCCCCTAAAATGCTCTTTTGCACATACGCATCTCCACCCATCCTTCAAGTCTGTATTTGTCTGCTAAGACTGTCATAAAATTGTACACATTGAAGGGTTTCAACAACAGAAATTCATTTTCTCAGAGTTCTGGAGGCAGGATCTCCAAGATCAAGACCAGCAAGATTGGTTTCTGGTGAGGTCAGTTTTAGACTGCTCCTGTTTGCTATTTCATATGTTCGCTCATTACCCTTTGTGAACCTGCAGAGAGAAATATGACACATTTTTATTTTTCCCTCTTCTTATGAGGCTACCAGTCATATTGGAATGGGATCCTATCAACCCTTTTGACCTCATTTACCCTTAATGATCTTGTTAAAGGTCCTGTCTCCAAATATAGTTACATTGAGTGTTAGGGCTTCATCATACAAGTCTGGAGGACACAGTTCAGTAATTATCAGGAAACTGCTTTAAAAATATCTTGCTTGATTTGTAAGTACTGGTACTGCCCAGCCTCTCTAAATTTGATCTCTCCTTTATTTCTCTCACAATATCATGACCATCTCCTTCATTATGTGAGTGCATGTTATGATTACACACTCATATTAGGTGTGATGAGTGTGTGTGTATTTTAGAAGATTTATTTATTTCCTTAAAGTCTGGTTTCAGTACTAGACCAAATATCACAAGGACAATCACCAAGCCCTCAGCATTCACTATTATATGTCCAGCGATTAGCAGAGCCTGGCAAATAGTGAGCAGTGAACACATACTGTGGTTTGCTCTCTTGCTTATTTAATACATTAGCATTTTTACACAAGATGTAAAAGAAGAATGTTTCCTAACATTTGTTGAACTCATTTATGTCCTGGCAATGCTATATATATTTTCAAGCATTATTTCATTTATCCTGCACAGCAACATAAACTGTTGACATTTTGTTTTCCAGTTGGTGATGATAATTACTGTCTGCATTTATGATTCACAGGAGTGGAATTACTGGGTCAAAAGGGATGCACATTTTAAGGCTCTTGACACGTATTGTTAAATTGATTTCCAGAGAGTTTATGGTGATTTACATTATTGCAACTGAGTGCCCACCTCACCATACCCTCCTAAGTATTAACATTCACTTTTACTTTTGCTAATTTTAGAAATGAAAACAGTATAGCATTGCTATTTTAATTTGTTAAATTTAATTTATCTGGTTACCAAAGAATGTGAAGGCAAGGTCGTCAGCTCTAGGCTTTAGTCATATCTTGTCTCTCATATTCCATATTCCCCTAGCCCTGCTTTTTAAATTCACAGGGTCACCAAGGAACCTCCAAAAACTCATAGGTTTTTCCAGCACAATGTTTTAGGAACGTCTTAAGTGTGATGAGTTTCTTAAAATTGCTTAAGGAAAATTTTGTTTGTTATTCTTAACAAATTCTAACAAATTCTCTGTATGAAACTCTCAATAAATCCTGATGGCCAACAATGTTAAGCCCAGACTCCTTGTTACAGAACCTGAGTCACCACATTTGCTGACCACCATCTCCTTAAGGGACCTAACACAGGACCTTACAACCCAGGGGAGTTGGTCAAGCAATCCCATATCTAGATGGTCAATTAGAACAAGCCAAACTGGAAATAGCAGTCAGGGCTTTCTTCACTGACTATAATAACATGAACAAGGGACAAGAGCTGTCTCCTCAGTGTTCCATTTCTCCTTTTGAACTTGGCACTGGGAACTTGTCAGATGGATGCAATGCAGATGGCAAGAATCATGCCTCTGCCTATGAGTTCCACACAAATGGCTCTGGCCTGTTTATGAATCTGGGAACTAGAAGGAGGGACTGACGAAAGAAGTAGGAATGGAAAGGTACTGACTCAAAGCTGAGAATAGCTCCTTAGAAGCTGCCTGGGAAGTGCTGAGGTCCTCCTGGGCCAGATAAGAAGGGCACTGATACGCATAGGAGCATGACTGGTCCCAGGGAGCCTGACTAACGTTTCTTCCAGAAAACTACAGTTCACCAGCTGTGCCATAAGTCTGGTGCAGGGGGGCAATTTAATGACAAGTAGAATACCCAAAAGGTAGAAAAACCTCACATTTGCCTTCTGCCAAAGCCACAAAGATTGACCACCACTACTCAGGAGAGTCTGATCTCTGCTTCTTTTCAGCTTGCCACATCTTGCATGAAAGACTTATTAGTATCTCACCTGGAAATTTGTTGGTGGAATTTTGGTAAATACAATCCCCAGGGTTCTAGCTTTTATTTCAATATATCATATATATCATACAAACAGGGGAAAGATTCTAAGTTGTGTCAATACATTAACAAGCACAACACATAAGACAGAGTACAGGCATGGGGAAGAGGGAATATATTTGCCAAATAGAGTTGGGACGACGCAGAATTGAAAGTTCAGATGACTTTGAAAATGTGAACAAGTAATTTACAAAATAATAGATGCTAAGAAACTTATAAAATTAAAAGTTTAATCCTATTAGTAATCAGATCAAACACACCATTTTTTGTCACTTAAAAAAAACATTTTTGGTCACTTGTAAATGCTGTTAGTATAACTTTTATATAAGCTAATCAGTGTGTCAAGTACAGGAAAAAACAGTTATTTATACTGGAATTTATCTTTATCTCTTCTCATAGATGGTCAAAGTACATCAAGAACCTTACACTGTTATTTTCTTTAGTTTCTTAATTCTAAATAAAGAGTTACAGTTGACGGTCCACAACAATCTAGATATCCACCAGTACGGGAAAGTTAAAAATAAATTGAACTTGTCTGAAAAAGGAGAAAAATATAAATTAGATGTGGAAAATAAATTCTGTGATACAAAGTGCATTTTACAATATTAAGGGGCATTTCATAAATGAACATGCGCTTTCTTTTTATTCTTTTTTAAACTAATTTTTTAAAATATTTATTTTTTAGTTGTAATTGGCCACAATACTTTTATTTTACTTGTTTATTTTTATGTGGTGCTGAGGATCCAGGGCCTCACACGTGCAAGGAGAGCGCTGTACCGCTAAGCCACAACCCCAGCCCTTAAATATTTTTTTTTAGTTGTAGACGGACACTATTTATTTATTTATTTATTTTTATGTGGTGCTGAGGACTGAATCCAAGCACTCTACCACTGAACCATAGTCCCAGCCCAGAACATGCACATTCTTGCTGTTGTATACATAGAAATAAGTGGAAAGAAGAACACCAAAATGTTAGTAGCCATTCTGAATAATTGTATACGAGCCTTTTTTCACCATGATTTTTGTTTGTTGTTTGCTTGCTTATAAGGTCTATAATTAATGTTTCAGTTTTATAAAATCTTAATTGCTTAGAGAATCTATTTGTTATTTTGAGTTAATTAATTTGAAGCCAAACTCTTCTGTATAATAATGTAATTCTCTCACTTTCCAGCAGTTTCCCATCAGACCCAGTAAGAAATAAGAAAACCAGGAATCTGTATGCATCGGAGGTTATACGCCACTTCACAAAGCAAGTTGGCTGAAGGCAAAGGGCGTAGGAAGTTGAGAGTCTGAGACACTGTGTCATCCTGGGAGGAAAAACACGAGGTTCTTGAGATACCTTCCTCCATTCCCAAGAACACAGCCAAGTTAAGGGAACAATAGGAGCTTGTCAGGGCAGAATGTCCAGAAAAACATTGTCTTGAAGGACATCAGCTGTTTCTCATGGACACTAAGATATGTAGAAAGTTTCTTTCTAAGGTACACACCAAGTTCCTTGGAATACTAGTCATACAATGGGACAAATCAAACCAAGCTAATAATGTCACTGCTTCTGTCACCTTTTATATAAGGTAGAAAACTCTGTTCCCAATGGTAACTGCTACAGAGCAGAGCACTGTGGAGAGGATAAGTTTTTATCCAACAGGCCACCACCAGATCACCAATGTGAGGAATGAAATTATTAATTTCTAGCAGAGCACTGGAGGAAACTGAGGTGCTACTTGCCCATTCACTTGCCACTTGACCTTCCTTGAAAGCGTTTTTCAACAAACCTTAGGCCCCACATTCCATCTCCAGATGTCTTCTGTGGTCTCATGACAACCTATTCCTCTGCCCTACCACAACTCTGCTGTGGACAGTACAGACATCATGATATCTGTCCTGGGGAGATGTCCCAGGATGGAAGAAGAGTAGTGAAAGAAAAGGAAGAAACCGAGGAACAAAGAATCCTAGTGAGAGTTTTCTTTTAAGATGGAACAATTTTTTAAAAACAGCAGCATCCAGATGCCAAATGGAGGGCAATCAAAAGCTGCTCCAGTCACCAAAGAACTTGAGGATGAGGTACAGGACATACTTACATGGATAGGCAGTCCCTTGAGATGGTTCATACATGAGGAAATAACAGGATACAATAAGGGTCCCGTGTTCTCACTGGATTCACAGGGGTACCCTGGAACAGAGTGGCAAGAACAAGGGTAAAATGTCATGATCTGAGGCAAACACCAGATGTGACATGAAGAGTTGAGAAGTGCAGCCTGCAAACCTAAACTTCTCAGAATCCTCCATTTTTAACAATAACAAGAAACTTTTATTTTAAACATTTTTTATTATCATCACTCTTTAAAAATTTGTGTTCAGATGTAACCAAATTTTCATGGTCCCTTTATGATTACTTTGCTTCTGAAGGCAAAGGAGTGATGATATCAGCTAATTTATTTCCTAGCTATCATTACAGTGATTAATGACTGGCCATATATAGAAGTCTGCTTTTATTTTTTTTCTCATTAAAATCATGCTAGAAATGTTGACACCTTTTCAGGCATTTCAGGTTCAAGAATATTTGAGAACCATTTTTGTGGATGCTTGCTTCAGTGAATAGATTTCAAATTATGTGAAATTGGTTTTATGTTAAAAGAAAAACTCTCTCCTAAAATATATGTTAATTTTATTAAATTGTTTAGAAGCTTAGAATTCCCTTTGGACAGAGTTAGCTAACCTCTTGGGTAAGGACAAATGACAAGACAGCCTTTCCTGCCTATTGTATATTCTGAGCTAGTGCAAAGTTATTCCCTAAAGTTATGTTACTCTATCTCCAAGATGGTAAAACGGAGGAAGCAGGGGATTCAGTGATCCCTAATGAGAACAGAAGTAGTTATGGTGTTGATGGAGACAGGTCAAGAGATAAAGCTCTTTTAGTCAGAGTTTTCATCCACATGCTCTCTAGGTAGATGCTATTTGTTTGAGGCAGCTTAGTTTTAGAAATGGAGCCACCATATAACCCAGCTATACCACACCTCAGTATGTATCCAAAACCAAATTATGCACACCCATGTTTACTACAGCACAATTCATAATAGTCAAGTTATGGAACCAGCCTAGGTATCCATCAACAGATAACTAGGGAAAATATGATACACACACACACACACACACACACACACACACATGAATTTTATTCACCATAAAAAAGAATAAAATTCTATCATTTGCCAGAAAATGGGTGAAACTTGAGAGCATATGTTAAGCAAAATAGGCCCGACTCAGCAACTCAGGGATCATTATGTTTTTTCTCATTTGTGAAAACTAGAGAGAACAAACGAATAAAAGAGGGGGATCTCATGAAATTAGGAGGGAGACCAGTAGAATAGAGGAAGGAGAGGAAAAAGATAGGTAATAGAAAGTGAACTTGACCAAATTATATTATGTGCATGTAACCTCATGTCACAATGAATCCTGCTATTATGTATAATTATAATGCACCAAGAAGAATCATTTTAAAAAGATATCTTTGTCTCCTTCACTATTTATAGATCTCAGTTCTCCTCTCTGTAGCATCTAATTCCAGCAGAGTAGCTTGAACTTCCTGTATAATGGCTCAAAGCTTCAAAAGCCATGAAACCAAAATAGTTAGCTCTCTTAAAGTTTAGGTTCAGAATGGGCACAGCGTCATTTCCACTATCAGTCACAAGCATTCAAGGTTCAAGAAGGGAGTATGTACACTTATGTATATAGAGGGAAGGAATTGGTGGCAGTGACCATCAGAGTCAAGAGGATATTGGTTGCTGAGAGCCATAGCCTAGTAGGAATGACGCATGGCATTTTGGGGTTGAAAGGTGACCCTGCTCAGGGATTAGGGTGGCTCCGGGTTTAGGGTGGATCCTGCTGGAATAGGGCTGCTTCAGGTTTAGGGTGGATCCTGCTGGGAATAGGGCGGCTCCAGGATTAGGGTGTATCCTGCTGCCTCAGGCGCCCACTCCTTTGGAGTTCCCATTTAGTTCTCACGGGGTTCTGAGAGTATTGGTATGCAGAGCCCGGTGAAGGGAGTGTATTTTCCCAGAACGTGCATGTAGAGTGCCAGTGAGAGTTCAGGAATAAAGAGTTACTGTTTGAATCTACAAGGCTTTTGTGGTGGCTCGATTATTTTGTGCCCAGCCAGACTGCGGCAATTGGTCATAGGGATTTGAAGATAAAAAATTTCTTATCAGATTGAGGAAGAGATTGGAAATGACTTGGATAAACAGGTGATATTTTAATGCTTATGTATTAATTTTGACATTAATAAGCATTAAATTTGACATCAGTCTTCTTTCACTGAGTGTCTAATATACATCATTTTCCAGACATGAACAATATGATGGGCTAGATTGCATACTTCCATTGCCCCCAAATTCATATATTGAAGTCCTAACTCTCACAACTCAGAATGTGAAATGGAAATACAGCCATACCAAGAGTTGAGGTGGAGGCTGGTATCTACAGCACTGGGCCACTTAGCATTATGGTTTAGCTCTGAGGTATCCCCTGAAAATTTCATGTGTTGGCTATATGATATTCAGTGTAGGAATATTCAGAAGTGAGTAATCAGATTATGAAAGCTATAACCTAATAAATGGCTTAGTCCATTTGATGGATTAATACTTTGGATTACTGGATGGTAACTGTAGACAGGTAGGGGATGGCTAGAGGAAAATTACTGGGGATGTGCCCTTTGGGATTATATATTGTCCCTGGCTCCTTATTTGCTTGCTTTCTGCTTCCTGGCTGCCATGAGCTGAGCTGCTGTCTTTTACCATACTTTACACCATGACATTCTTTCTGTCTCACCTTGAGCCCAGAGTAATGAAGTCAGCCCACCATGGACTGAACCTCTAAAACCATGGGCACAAAATAAACTTTTCCTCCTTAAATTGTTCTTATCAAGTTGTTAAGTTTTGGATATGTGGTATCTCCAAAAGTTCATGTGTGAGACAATAAAATAATGTTCAGAGGTGAAATGGTTAGATTATCAGTGCTGTAACTTAATTGTGGATCAATCCACCGATACAGTTTAAATAGGTGGTTACTGTAGGCAGGTAAGGTAGTTAGAGGAGGTAGGTCACTCTGAGGGTATGTAAGTTTTGTCCGTCATGAGCAGGGCAGTCTGCTTCCTTGTTGGCTGGTCCTGAGCTGCTTCTTTCTACCACTTATTTTGATGTTCTGCCTCATCTAAGTCAGCTGACTATGGACTAAACCTCTGAAACCATGAGCTAAAATAAACTTTTCTTCTTCTAAATTGTTCTTCTCAGGTCTTTTGGTCACGGTGATGGAAAAGCTGACTAAAACTCAAATATTTTGATTTGAGCAACAAAAAACTGACTAATTCACTTAGGAAAATTTCACAACCAAATGAATGCTAGTTCTGATGTGCTATGCAGTTGTGTGCAGGATTCAGGATGTTTCTGATAAGCATTTTTAAATATTCTGGATGATTTCATTCTACTCCCAGTTACTAGAAATATTTTTTTCAAGATGAGTTCAAGCTATGATTGAAAAGAAGGATTAGTAAATAGAATTTATCATTATTTTAAAATAATAATCTGTGAAAATACAATGTTTAAGCAAATACTAATGGCTACCTAAATGGTCTATTTTATCTATGTTTATAAATAATGGGAGGTTTATTGAAAAGAGTTTATGCTAAAGGGAATTTAACTTGGGAAATCTTGCTGGAAGTGGATTTCTAATGAGATCAAGTTGGTATTAATGTGTATCATTCATCAGGGAGTATTTATTTACATTTCTGATTTATTGTTTTAATTAAGCAATGTTTTCTAATAGCAGCCATGACCCTAGGGCAGATAAATAGGTATAGATTGTAGGTATGAAAAGCTTTGCACCAGACTATGATTTGTTGCAGAGAGACCAGCCTAGGGTCATATACAAATAGATATGAAATAAATACTTTTGTAATTATTGTTTACAAAATAGCACTGAGAATAAAATACCCTTTCTTATTGTATATGTTTTTGGAATTTGTTCCAGCAAACTCCCTGGGCAAAAGAATATTGAATATGGAAATACTATATAGGATTATGGTGTCCCTACAAATAATCACATTCTAAGCAGACCCCAGAAATCTGAAAGAATTCTACAAAATTTTATTTAATACACTTTTGACACAAGAGCAACCTTACTTGTACTTATTATACTGCCTTCTTTAGCCCCTGTTTAGTAAATGACTCCTCAAGGAAAGTTTGAAATGGCTTTTTATCTATAAGGTACACACTTTTTTATTAAATAAGGGTGAATCCCTCAGCTTGCACATTTTGAAAGGCAAGACAGATGTGAATGCCTTTACTTTTTGTTATTGTTGTTGTTTATTTATTTATTTAGTTATTTATTTGTGGTACTGAGTATTGGACCCAGGAGCACTTCACCATTGAGCTACATCCTAAGCCCTTTGGTTTTCCTTTTGAGACAGGGTCTCATTAAGTTATTGACACTGGCCTCAAAATTGTGATTTTTCTCCTTCACCTTCCTGAGTTCCTGGGATTACAGATGTGAGGCACCACACCTGGCTTTCTGTGATTTCAGTGCGATCTGGTCAATGGAAGGACCCTCCAAGTATTCTGGCTTTGAATGGTATTCTTTGCCACTCTTAATCTTCCCTGTATTCAACTTCTGTGAAATATTTGAGATGCTCTTCCTTACACACTACTTTTTTTCTACCATGGCTTCTCTTTTGGTATAGACAGTTAAATACCGTTTTCAAATTATCTTAGATTTGTTGCAGGGACAGGTAAAACCCAGGTTCTTAATCTATCTCCAGAATTATACTTTAATTAGCCCCCCCCAAAAAAAATCTCCCTAAATTACAGGCAGTTTCAAGTGCTATTTTGTCTGTTTTTGTGTATGTGTGGTTTTGTGTAATAAAAATACCTCTGCAGTGACAGTTTAGGTGATAAATGTTCTACATGTGAGTGCTACATCATATACCATGGAACATTTTTTCAGACAATGTGAAGCATGATACTTATTTTAACTCTCTCTATTATGATAACTTAATGTGAAATCCAAAGACTTGTTGATACCAAGATTACTAAATGTTTATGTTTACCTATAGCATAGGAGCTCTTATAAGCAAACCACAGAAGTTGACTCTAATCAATAAAAAAAGAAATGTGATTTATA